TGAACAAGAATCGCACTATGATATATATTCATGGAATTTTTTTTTTTTTGAGAAAGGGCGGAGTAAGTGATCAGACATAGATTAGACAATGTAGACATTTCTACAGAACCTATCGGGCCTTTTGAACACTGTGGGAGAAATAAGGGAAACAATGATTAAATAAGCCAAATATCCATGATGAGTGTTCATGGAAAATGCTAAAAATGACACGGTACTGGTCATCATATTCTTCTCTGAATAGTCTGTTATATGTCTTATTTATATACATCTGATATGAGTACATTATGTTGCAGAATATCTGGAGGCCTCACATACATCACTCAGATTTCCTATCAACTCTTTCCATGAATGGAACTGAATGTGCTGGAATTGGGGACCGGGGCTTTAAATTATTGTTCTTTAAATCCATTTCAGTAGTTTCTCAAGAGTAGATCCTATATTACAATATGCATGTACCACACTCGATACAGCATTGCACAAATTATCAAGAAGAGAAGAGCTGAGGAAAAAAAATACAGGTAAAAATCATCGATATTTAGCAAAATACAGTAATTTTCTGTTCATCTAATATATACCCTACTTTGCAAGAGAGTGTTAAAATTACACAGAATTTGAATAACATATACAATGAGCTTTCACCAAAGAAACATCGAGTCACATGAAGTTATTCTGATCGATACATAATTCACCATAAAAACACAAAAATGCTTTTTTTCTATTGTTTTTTTTTTTGCCTTTGTTTTTCGACACTGTCCGTTAGATTGACCTCACGGAGGTCTGTCATTGGTCGAGCTGCCGCGGGCGGGTGGGCAGCGGGTGAAGACTCTTAGCACCTACACCTCATCATGAGAACGTTTAGTAGCTTAGTACGGTTTCCCACATGTAGACGACACATGGATTCAACTACCTATGAGAATTGTCACTAAATGCTTTTCTGAAAATTTGCCACGTTCAGAGATGAGAAGGTCTAGTACCGTACATCTGTATTGCAGTTTTGATGTTCAACACGCTTGTATTGCAATTTACTGTAGCCGTCTCTGCATTTGTTCACTCTCTTTATTCAATGAAGACTCAAATATATGCAAATGTGCAAGCCACTACCCTCTTACACCTGACTTCCGATCATTTGAAATCTTAACATCAAGTTCAGATACATGAGGGGAACAGTCCTGCAGAATTTGAGAATAGCGAGAATGCTTTGAAAGGAAGTACACCTAAATGATGGCGTTCAAATATGACCCATTTCAACCACATGGAACATGGAACCACCCAAAGCTTCTGAAGATTTTGGAATGATATTATGGATAAAAAGTGTACAAAATAAATGTAAAAAAAAATTAAAATCAATGCATTTACTTCAAATTAACTTTCCATTAGGCCGATTCACCCACATTCTGTCATTGTTTATTGACCCTCATGTCATTCTAAAACGGTATTATTTTCCTTCTTCTGTGAGACCCAAAATGAGGTTTTAGCCAGAATATCTGAGTTACTCTTTTCGATGCAACAAAAGCGGGAGATTATTCATACTGCCAAACTCCATAAAGGCACCATAAACAACCGTTCACACCATAGATGAAAACTAAAGATTTAACAATAGTTCGAATTCTACAAGAATAAGGAAGTCAGATATCGTTGGAATCATTTTCAGAACAATTTTTTCCTAGTTGATAAACGATAAAAACATTGACAGCCAATCAGATCCACCCGACTAAGAAGGCATTCACACTAGCACTTTTGGTGCGCACCAGGGTTCATTTGACGTCAGAGTTTGATTTGTTTGGATATTGTGAACGCTGTTTTCTGAACTCAGGTGCGCACGTGTGAACCGTACTTGAGTCTGCCTAAAAAGGGTGATCTGGGGTATGGCTGATGCAAACTCTGGTGCAGTTCACTTCTAATGTGAACGCAATCATACTAAATAATGAAAGTGAGTTGCTACGTATGAATTGGTCAAACTGTGTATTTATGTGGTTACTCACTCGCTTTCCTGAGAGACAATTTATATCTAATTTCTGCTCGCAGAAATTGACTCCCGCGTTCTTTTGAACCTCTGCATTACAGTCCTGACAAATAGACGTATGTGTTGTTCTGTGTTGGCGCTTTGGAAACAAATCAACATTTTCAAATTCTGAAGTACAAAAATGAAGCTGTTTTTTTTTTCTTTCATTTTGCCGTCTTCTGCATAGTCGTTACCTAGCATCAGGGGAAAACAGCTGCCACTCTGATGACGCAAACGTACTGTGGTTCAGAGCCAAAAACTACCGTGTGAACACAATCCAGCAGGGGCAGGGGGAGGGGGATCAACTCGTGTCCGGACCAAGCAATCAAACCAAATGTGAAAGCACCCTAAAGGGACTGAGCATTTAAAGTCGCTCAATCGTTTTGTTGGTATGGACGTTAATATAGTCATCGTTGTAGTCATCATTCTTGGTGTAAACAGGCCTTAAAATTAGTCTTTACTTGAACATGACATACAACTACATGCATTCTGCAATTACATGATAGCTAGAGAAATATGCCAAAAATGTGAAATTCATTATTTAAGATAATCTTCTCCGTCAGGGCAGAGCCAGAGTTTGACATTAAATGTTGGACAAATTCTATGATGCTTTTTATCCATTTTTAAGCTTGGCAGTATAAATCACCACCAGCTTTTATTGTATGGAAATAACAGATGAAACATCCTGCCCAACATCTTATTTTGTGTTCTTAGGGAAGAAAAAAATACAGGTTTTGGAACTATATATTGGTGATTTTCTGTTAGAGCGTATTATTTTAAGCACATTTATTGAGTTTGTTTTTCGTAATGTAAGACTTTTGTTAAAAACCTCATAACAACAAGAATGAAAAATGGAATAATAACCAAAAAACATCCAGATGTTTTCTGATTTAATGTTTTGACGAAGGCCACACCACTTAGAAACTCTGTACTTCAAACAAGTTGACACTGAAAGGTCTCAACGCAGATGCAGATGGAAAAAGCCACTGTAATCATAGCTGACTTGTCGAACAGATACACGGCGAGAGACATTCTCTCTCATGTACATCCTAAAACGGTTTTGTTTCCTTTGTATTAGCTCTCCATCATACGGCAAGCTCTGTCTGTGTCGAATCCTCTGTAAGTACCGTGTGAAGTGAGTATTCTTGATATGAGGGCTGTGATTCTCAGGAATAACTAATTTAACAAACACAGCGGAGGCAACGTGTCACTCGCTCTCTTGTCTGTGGGGGAAGCTGCATTTCAAGTGTCTAAATCCATTTGGACGACAGATCTTTGGCAACTGTTGTGTTTATCCGTCATTACCATTAGATCTCGCTGTGTAAAAAAAAACATCTGCTGGCAATGTATTAAGCACGAATAAATCAAAATGGCTGCGAGTCTTGCTCAAAACTGCCGTACAGAATTGTTACTCGTTTTTCAATTTGTTTAGGTGGCTCGAATGAAATCAACCCTGTTTGTTTGTGCATTTCCGTGAGCGAAGCATGCCGCTACACCCTATGTAGCCTTCGGAAACTTGCAGTCTAAGGGATTTCTACTATTCTAGCAAGTCACACGGGCTGCTGCGGTACAGCGTATTAAACTAAACTGTTCCTACGGTCTGCCGCATACCTGTAATGTACACCGCATTCAGAGAGACATCGCTTTTTAGTTGCATCCCCACCAAAACGCCGCAGCATTTTGACGAAATCAAAAGATAAATCGTCAGAACTCTTCGAAATCAACTTGATGTGCTATAAATGATACTCTAAGAAAAGTACTTCCATTTGCGTCTGTCCGTAGTTTAATTTATTGCCATGCTCAAAAAAAGCCTCTTTTCCACATTTTCACTTTGTTCCGATGAGAAACATCGATTTTTGTTTGATCGGGGGGCTCCTTCCAGTCAGATCGTGAGCTTCACTTTTGAGTGCCGTTTGTAAACATCAGACTCAGGTGCGGATAGTTTTGCAGACGTGGCTCGCTCTCACAGGAAGGATACCGATCGGCCTCCCTCTCGCAATGGCATGGTGGGATACATTGGTTTGAGAATGTGGTCACTACCTGGTTTGCTGCTACCGCCACCGTTCTGACTGGCCATTTGGTGTCGGATGTCTCTGCGGTTGATGGTGAATGCCGTAATCATCTCGGGGCCATAGTCCCTGCTCTCCGGCACGGCGCCGGGGACGTGCCTCAGGTGGCCGTCGCCCAGGCAAGTCATGGAAACACGGGCGTCATCGCGGTGTTGCAGCTCATGTTGTCCTTTCCTGGCAGGCGATGGTCGTTGAAAGAGTGCATGTTGATCACTGCGTCCGTCTTCACCAAGGTTGGCGGCTGGCGGTGGAGCTTGTGTTTCACTCGTCTCTCGCATGTGAACGACAGTTTGATCTCTTCCATCACCGCACTGCAGAAAGTCCTCTTGATGGAAAAAAAGAGACATGGTGGGGGGAGGACAATATATATATATATATATTTATTTATTTATTTATTTTTAAACAGTGCTGCTCAATATTTTTGTGGAAACTGATAGATTTTTAGGATCCATTGATGGAAAAAAAAAGTTACTGAACACCATTTATTTGAAATATGTTTTTACTGACACTTTTGAGTAATTAAAAAAAAAAAAAAACTGACCCCAAACTTTTGAATACAAGATAATCTTTCTCTCTGTCAGGGCAGAGCCAGGTTTTGATGTCTCATCTTGGACTAATTTTAAGGTGCATTTTAACCTTTGTTTGAGCTTGGCAGTATAAATCACCTTCAGCTTTCATTGTATAAAAAAAAGTGCAGCTGAAATATCCTGCCCAACATCTTATTTTGTGTTTCAGGAAAAAAAAAGAAGAAAAAAAAACTAACTATGTTAGAACTATGTGATTTTCAATTTAAGTGTATTCCTTTAAGCAAATTTATTGAGTTTGTTTTTAGTAATGTAAGATTTAAAAAAAAAACTGACAACAAGAATAATGAAAGATGGAATAATAATTAAAAAAAAAAACATCCGTTGACATTGAAAGGTCTCACGCAGATGCAGATGGAAAAAGTTACTGTAATCATAACTGACTTGTCGAACAGAGACACGGCGAGAGACATTCTCACTCATGTACATCTTAAAACGGTTTCGTTTCCTTTGTATTAGCTCTCCACCATACGGCAAGCTCTGTGTTTGTGTTGAATCCTCGGTATGTACCGTGTGAAGCGAGTATTCTTGATATGAGGGCTGTGATTCTCAGGAATAACTCATTTAACAAACACAGCGGAGGCAACGTGTCACTCGCTCACTTGTCTGTAGGGGAAACTGCGTTTCAAGCGTCTAAATCCATTTGGACGACAGATCTTTGGCAACTGTTGTGTTTATCCGTCATTACCATTAGATCTCGCTGTGTACAAAACATCTGCTGGCAATGTATGAAGCACGAATAAATCAAAATGGGACAAGTCTTGCTCAAAACTGCCGTACAGAATTGTTACTCGTTTGTCAATTTGTTTAGGTGGCTCGAATGAAATCAACCCTGTTAGTTTGTGCATTTCCGTGAGCGTAGGATGCCGCTACACTCCCCGTAGCCTTCAGGAACTTGCAGTCTAAGGGTTTTCTACTATTCTAGCAGGTCACGCTGGCTGCTGCGGTACAGCGTGTTAAACTAAACTGCTCCTACGGTCCGACGCTTACCGGTAATGTACATCGCATTCACTGCGCTTTTTTTTGTTGCGTCCCCACCAAAACGCCACAGGATTTTGACGAAATCAAAAGATAAATCGTCAGAACTCTTCGAAATCAACTTGATGTGCTATAAATGATACTCTAAGAAAAGTACTTCCATTTGCGTCTGTCCGTAGTTTAATTTATTGCCATGCTCAAAAAAAGCCTCTTTTCCACATTTTCACTTTGTTCCGATGAGAAACATCGATTTTTGTTTGATCAGGGGGCTCCTTCCAGTCAGATCGTGAGCTTCACTTTTGAGTGCCGTTTGTAAACATCAGACTCAGGTGCGGATAGTTTTGCAGACGTGGCTCGCTCTCACAGGAAGGATACCGATCGGCCTCCCTCTCGCAATGGCATGGTGGGATACATTGGTTTGAGAATGTGGTCACTACCTGGTTTGCTGCTACCGCCACCGTTCTGACTGGCCATTTGGTGTCGGATGTCTCTGCGGTTGATGGTGAATGCCGTAATCATCTCGGGGCCATAGTCCCTGCTCTCCGGCACGGCGCCGGGGACGTGCCTCAGGTGGCCGTCGCCCAGGCAAGTCATGGAAACACGGGCGTCATCGCGGTGTTGCAGCTCATGTTGTCCTTTCCTGGCAGGCGATGGTCGTTGAAAGAGTGCATGTTGATCACTGCGTCCGTCTTCACCAAGGTTGGCGGCTGGCGGTGGAGCTTGTGTTTCACTCGTCTCTCGCATGTGAACGACAGTTTGATCTCTTCCATCACCGCACTGCAGAAAGTCCTCTTGATGGAAAAAAAGAGACATGGTGGGGGGAGGACAAAGAGAAAAGAGGAAGTAAGTACGTTCACGTCCAGTAGTTCACGTCAGCATTTTTTATTTTTATTTTTTATTAATTAATTTTTTTTAGCCATGCTTTTTAAAGAAGTCAAACTTTTGAATAGTATTATATAAAAGATACACAAAGGTATGTCAACTTTGTTCAAGACAAGTTTTCTTTTGTATTCTATGTGTTGTTCTTTTATACAATTTAAACATTAAAGTTTATTTTGACCAGAACAATAGTTTGATATTTTTGTGTTACCTTTTACATAATTCAGTCTTCAGTGTGTTTTGTTTTCTTAATTTTTGACAAGGAAAAAAATATGCTATAGCTGCTTCTAAATCAGTGAGACCAAAAACAATCCTTAAAATAACCTCCAACATGTGGGGAAAAAATAGCACAATGTTCCAGTTCAGTAGGGAGTATAATTCATTTTGAGGTGAGATGTGTGATAAAAAAATTCCCATTTTTTAGTGTACTTGTACACTCAAATACATGATCAAAGCGGTTTAATGTCAACCTCCAGCGCTGGCATCTTATCTGTGAAATGTGTCTACATAAAAAGGAAGTGATTTGCGATTTGCTTGCTATGCTTTTTGATGTTCGATCGGTTATTCATCTCTTTTCTCAAATAACAGATCCTGATGTTATCAGGTGTGACTGAACACTCAGCTTTAGTCAGCATGCAGAACGTCTTCATTTCAGAATGTCTAAAATCTGTGACTCTACAAGTGTAACCATACAAGGGCTTGCTAGGCATGCACTATGGTCTTCTGAGTGGTTGCTAGGGTGTTTTTAGCAGTTGCTATGGTATTGTGGGAGGGTTCTGGGAGGTTTGGTTTGATGTTTAGTTCTACATAGTTGCAAGAGCATTACAGTTGTGGGGATGAAAGTCTAAAAGGCACTAATAATTGTTCTTTTCTTTCTTAGCCAAGCATCACATTATAACGTCAATTTCCAATTAATCTCACCTGTTCATGCTCTGCGTTTTTTCGCAGTTTGTAGATGAACTCTCCTATCGCCACAAACACTGACAGCACCAGACCAGATGCCAACACAATGAAGATGCCGCCAAGATTCTGGATGCCCATGGGACCCGTTTCGTACCGCTCGTCTTCCAGACAGCTGCTGCTGCTCCACCACTTCTCTTTGAGCATATGAAGACGGCCATCTTCCAGGATACTGAGGATGGCGATTGTGATTTTATCCCTGTACGGCGAGCCTGAAAGAAATTCATTAATAGATGAGAATCTTTATTGGAAACTCGAATACAAAGAAGACTAAGGAGATTTTTTTCTTCTTAGTTTTATTAAAGACAGACATCTAATTATCAATCTAACTAACTAATAAACCTGGCAAATCTGCAAGGAAAAACAACAACAATAATAACAACAACACATTTTTAAATAATATATCATATTAAAAATAATATATAAATATATATTTTTTTTTAAATGATGCAAGCATTGCACTTGCATAATGGGCACTGAAATTCCATAAACAACATGAGAAAAAAAAGAAGAAAAAACAAACAAACAAATAAACATCTAAATATATTTAACATTCTGACACCGACTCCACACTTGACATTATATATTTATATACATTATATACACACAAACACAGTGTAACCCACTCCATTTCACGCTCAGTGTTTTTTTTTTTTTTTTTAATAAGTACTTGGTTTCCCGACAGATTAAACAAAGAAAACCTTCTGTACACTGGAGAAAAACATGGATTATAATATTTTCTTTAAATATATTTTGAGAAACATTATATACACACAAACCCAGTGTAACCCCCTCCATTTCACGCTCAGTGTTTTTTTTTTTTTTTTTAATAAGTACTGTGTAAATTTGCAGACAGCCAAGGCTTTAAGCTTGTAAAATGACTTCAGAGCCCTCAACACTGCAAACTATGCAGCCTTCAAGTTTTATGAATCCAGCTAAGAGGTCAGTTTGTGATATTTACATCTGCTATTGGTCAAATGTCTCTTCGCTATTAGGGATGTAAAGATTCACTCAACTCACGATTCGATTCGATTAACGATTTTGATTTCACAATTCGTTTTTTTTTAACAAAATGATATTTAAGACAAATTATTAATTAAATGTGTCCTTTTATTATTGCTTGGAGAAAATACTGTACGTTTCTTTGTGAAATTGAAATACAACACTATAATAATATACTAATATAGCACTTGTAAATTATCGGTCTTTTGTTGGTTTTGATTGCTTCTATTGTCCTCATGCTGTAAACAAAGCAGCGCTGCACTTATGAACTTTAATATACATTATACAGAGGCAAGAGGAAATATAAAAATACCATCGAAAAACAGTAAGTTCCCCTCAGACATACATTCATATAAACTCCTACCCCTAAATGAATCGCGATTTGTTTAGCATCTCAACCGATTTGAATCGTCACATATTCAAATCGATTTTCAACCGGCTCGCGGTTAATAGTTACATCCCTATTCGCTATACATATTCACAGGTCAGATTCATTAAACTTGAAATTTGATTCACATGCCTATGAATGGATGTGAATAGAGGACAAAGTCTGCTGTGACCAAAGCTTCACTTACATGATGTGTAAAGCATGGAAACATTCCACTTATTTACAACAAACAATACAATTATAAATAAAAATGCCCTCCAAATAATAAGCATAACTATATGCAGTTTCCCAAACGATGAGTGATTTTGCTATATTGCTAGTTTCGGATTTGATACCTGACTGAATATTTAAGAGAAATTAGGTTCAACACACACACACACACACACACACACGTTTGTATATGTGGATTACGGGAACTCGCCATATGCATAATGTTTTTTATCCTGTATAAACTGTATTTTCTATCCCTCATAAACCATGTTCACATTGTAATACTTATGTTATTATACACGTTTGTGTTCTCATAAACCATACAAACCTGTAAAGACACACACATGCATGCAATATTTCCTAATTGTGTAAGGTAGAAAGTAGAAAGTGCAGTCAAAGGTGTGCATATCACCATTTTACAACTGCTTATAGTGTGTATCATCCAATCAGAGTCAGAACTGTGTTATAATGGTGGTTTTACCTTTCGGGGTGCCGATGCCATAACCTTTGCTGTCGACGATGCCGCCAACTTGCGTGAGATTGCAGTTTTTGCGTGTCACATACTCAATGGTCGTTGACTCCATTAGAAGGGCATAGTCTGACTTTAACACTCTCTGAATCCCATCTTCAATGGACTTGACGAACGACGTGCTCTGCCTGCTACTCATGAAAGCCCACATCTTCTCAAATGTAGACACTCTTGATTTCTGAAGAAGAGAAACATATTTTTTTTTAGTTTTTAATCTAAAGCAGCAACTGTTCGTATTATTTGGAAATCAATCTGTTTGTTGGTGGTCAGTACAATATATATATATATATACAATGGAGAATTAAACGGTAAAACTAAAGGGGGATCAATAGCAACCCAGACTCATTGGGGAAAATAAATAAATAAATAAAAAAATCAGCAAAATTATATAGCATTGCTTCTAAACCCTTACTAAACCCTACCCTAAACCTAACCAATATTGTCAACAAAAAACAAACATCAGATAACAACACATTTGCTCAAGAAATTGTGCCATTATAGCTTGTTTCAAAAAGTATTTGAGCTCTTTTATCAATTAAAAACATGAGTTTCATGCATCACAAGTACAATGCTGTACTAGGTGAGTTGCCGAGCAAGTTTACTAAACTGGAAAAGCCATACACATAGAGTATATTATATTTTATTTTATTGTATTGTATTGTATTATATTATATTCTTTTATGTTATATTATATGAAAAGGACTTGCCACTAGTGCTCATTTCAGTTGGAAACTGTAGTAAATGGTATGCACATCTTTATGTTTTTGGAGTTTTGCAGAAGTGTAGGAAAAGGGACATGCTTCCAGTGATCTTATGTTGATCAGTAGGGTGGTGTGGCATAGTTGTCAAAGATTCATGTTGATTTTGCACAAGGTGAGATTTGTGAGCTACCAACTTCATGCCCTTGATTAAGACACTTAACTGAAACTGAACTGGACTAATTGGATTGAAACTTTAATAAATGTACTATGCGTTGCTTTGGATAAATGTGTCTGTTAAATGTTGGCTGATCAAGCAGAAACAATTTTCTTTGTCCTTATTTTGTGCAAAATAAGCAACACTTGCCAAACTAGAGCTGCATGCTAATTTTTATCCATGTATACAATTGCATACTTTTATGTCATTTCATATGAATCTATGGATACATGTTTATCCTCAAATGCTTTTAACAGAAATGTCAGCCTCCCTGCGTAACATGCATCTTTTTACAGTAGTGTTGTGACCATGTTTTGCCATCTTCCAACAGAAAATCATAAAGTTACAAGCATAACATACAGTAGAAAGTGTACTTGCACAACATCCTCAAACACATAAAAATAGGGCATTTTCCCCCTTCCAAGTCTTGGCTCCATTACAGTGACACTCTCCAGCTTCACACTACAGTGTGCTGGTGTTGCCACTGTTCTCTTAACCTTGAGCACTTGCTATTGTTCCTCCCCCTTACAATGCTATTTTCCCTGGTGTCTCTCAATATAATTGAAAGTGGCTGGGAATTGGCTTCAATGTTGGACTGCACAAGAATGAATAAGCAACTGGAGTGATACAGCTGACACTTCCTAGATTAAACAGTCACTGTGTATGCTGGATTACGGACACTATAACGCTGTCTTCACCACAGCTGTGCTTGTTTTACTGTAAGTAACATGGCTGACTCAAAATTAACATAAAAGCTACTGATTACTGTGCAGTATATACTGCCAATTATATTTTTGAATTTATTATGTGAAGCAGTATAGGTAGGTTGTTGTACGTATCATGGCATTTGGTAAATTAAATATCATTAATAATTAAAAGCATTTGCTGAAGCAACCATGCCATTTTAGCTTGCTTCTATGAGTTGTTGAGCTCTTTTATCATGACTCGTGTTTAGCAGACTCATACCTGAGCGCGCTACATCGCAAATGCAACACAGTACCAGGTGGGCTACCGAGCAAGTTTCCTACATCAGAAAATCCATACATATGGAGCTGGTTATGTAATGCAAATGTCAAAATGTATATGTTTACAAATTAAGTACTATGGTCTTTCTTTATCAATAATTTGCCCCTGCAATCATAATTTGAGTGAAAAGGCGTTCAGGTCATTACGGTATTCTGTCCTACAAAAAAAAAATCACATACTATGAACAATACACTATATCTGCTGAAACATCTCCAGGCTACGCATGTAACCATGGTTCCCCGAAGGGAATGAGACGCTGCGTCAAAACGCTACGGGAACGCCTCCAGCGTGACCATGCTCTGAATCACATGTGTAATCAGTCCAATGGATGGGCGGGAACGTGAATGCCCACGCCGCCAGACTTGCAAATCCCTGCCTAGTGTGGAAGAGCACAACTAAGGCGAGAGAAAAGGGAGCCAGGAATGGCTAAAGTAGGCGGGGCCTGCCATCCCGAAGGCCAACTTCTGGAGGAGTGAGCCTTGACCCCCGAAGGAGAGGGGAGATCAGAGGGCTCAAGGCTATGGTGGGAATCGCCCATGGAGCGCCGTCGAGGAGAGGAATCGGGTCCGAGAATCATACTCGGCCCGGCCAGAACGGGGCTACTGGCAGTCGACTGACCTCGTTCCAGTGCACTCTCTCCAGAACTCCCAGGAGCAGAACAATCGGGGGCCTCGGCCACGTCTGTACCATGGCATCCAGCCCCACTGGAGCTGGATGAGTCCGAGAGAGAACCAGAGGGGACCGTGCAATATCATCTGAGTCGCAAACAAGTCCACCTGAGCCTGGCCAAAGACTCTCCAAGTCTGCTTCAC